CTTCCTTCCTTCCTTCCTTCCTTCCTTCTTTCTTTCTTAGAGAACCGAGGTGGCCCAGTGGTTAGTACTGCAGGCCACTTCAGCTGACGGTTATCTGCAGTTCAGCGGTTCAAATCTCACCGGCTCAGGGTTGACTCAGCCTTTCATCCTTCCGAGGTGGGTGAAATGAGGACCCAGACTGTGGGGGGCGATATGCTGACTCTGTAAACTGCTTAGAGAGGGCTGAAAGCCTTATGAAGCGGTATATAAGTCTAACTGCTATTGCTACTGCTATCTTTAGGATCAAGATTATTATGGTCTGTTACAGAGTCAGCCAAGACGTTCAATCTGGATTTGGAATTTTTAATCCATCTAGCAAGTCCTTCCCAAGGACCTGAGATAGGCAGATGTTGATCTTTGAGGTTCCACCACAATATCGCGAAGACCTTAAGCGCGGAGACATAAGCGCGAAGGTCTTTTCAGCGCTGTCATAATCGCTGAACAATCACTGAAGCATGTAAATATTTAAATAAACCTTTAAACGTCACTGAAGCAAGCCGCGAAGCAAGCCGCGCTTTAAATGAACGTAGCATTCACTTTAAATATTTAAATAAACCTTTAAAACCTTTAAACAAACATAGCATTCACTTTACTTTCGTGCTGCCGTCGTCGCGCTGATATCGACGCGGTTTATGTGGGCGCGCTAATGACTACGCGTGGTTGTCGACGTGTATTTGTCCGCGCTGTTTTGTCTAGCGTGGTTTTGACGTGCCACGGATCTTTGATGGTGTTGCAGGATGTAAGCTATTCCAAGTAAAGCTGCCTTTTGCATTTGGCCAATAAAAATGGTTGTCATTATTATTTTGACTCATTGCACCAGATGTTCAGAATGCACTTGGCATTTGAACCACCGATGGACATTTATTATTTTTCATCAAATTAATTTGCTGCCCACCTCGTGGTTCAAGGCAACTCTTAAGCTCTTGAGAGGTCTGCCCTCCCTCATCAATTCATTCTACCTCTTGAATAGCCATCCAAATTTTTTTATTCATTTGTATTTTTTGAGAATTTTACATAGAATGAAAAATAAAGAAAGAGAGGGAAAACAAAAAAAGAAGAAGAAAGAAGTACAAGAAAATACAACTGACATGAAATATAATGATTTCCTTTTTTTCCCCTCTTCCGCAGTTATTAACGAATCTATCATATCCCTCCCCTCTTACCTCTTCCAGACATCCCTTCAACCCGTTATTTAATTATGTGTTTCAATTAATAAATCCAGGTTAATATTTTGGCTTCCTTTAACAAAAAGACCATAAGATATTTCTAGTCTTTTTTTAAAAAAAACCCACCCTTGTTGTTTTCTTCCCTGACCAATTTCTTGTCATTTTAACAATCTGTTCCTGCGCTGTGGGAATTTCACTACTCTTCCATCTTTGTGCGTTTAATAACCTTGGTGCCATTATCATACACAAAATTAATCTTCTGTGAGTCTTTTATAATTTAGTATCCATAAATCCCAATAAAAAAACCTCCAGGGTGTTCTTTTTGTTGCAATATGAATCTTTAACGTTCTTTGTATTGTTGGTGTATTTGTATCCAAAGCTTCTTGGGTTTCTCACAAGTCCGGGATAAAATGTTCCTTCATGATTTTTTTCCCCCTCACATTTCCAGCATTGACCGGAGGTCCCTTTATACATTTTTGATACTATCCAAATTCCTAGCAGGGCCATATTTTCAGCTAGTGAATTCTTCTGGTTAATTAGGGCAGTGTTTCTCAACCTTGGCAACTTGAAGATGTCCGGACTTCAACTCCCAGAATTCCCCAGCCAGCATTTGCTGGCTGGGGAATTCTGGG